GTTTAAGGAGCACGTAGTCCTGTGTGAGAAAAGGGAGGAAGTCATCTTGTAAACGATCATCATCCTGTTGTCTAGAAATGAAGGAAGAGAGGGTTTCAGAGAAGCTGCAAGGGCTGCAGAAGGCTGCACTCAGATTTCCTGTCAGAGGTGGGGTCTCGAATTTGCATAAATAGTAGGCTCCTCCAGGAGAAACCTCTCTACTAGAATTTGCTCCAGAGCAGAATTCAGCATTAAATTCATCCTCAACCCTTTCCCAAAGGAAAGAGTTACTTAGCAACAGGAAAATCCACATGGCTCATGTGGTAGTGTCAGGGTGCAGTGTCAGTGTCAGAGTAAAAGCCTTTCAATCTCATAGATTATTAATACCAGTTCTCTCCCTCTTCCCCCACATATAAATACCTTATGACTAACAGCTTATATATGCAGGTCATTGCCCAGAGTCAGAGGAAAATGTGTGGTTTTATAATGAAGACGTCAGCTGAGTTACCTAGAGTGAAGCCCCATGTCCTTGACCTGATTAGTCCAGTATGATGAACAGCTGAACTGAGTGCCCATGGCAGGCAGAATAACAACAGCACAAACAGAATCCTAGGCATTGTTACGTCATCTGAGGGGTTCCATCCCAATGGTGGATGTTGGACCAGAACTGGCTAGTAAGTCATGTGCTGTTGGCTGTGAGATTTAAATCGAATATATACGAATTATTTAAAAAATACTAGCCAAGTCTGGGCGCGGTGGCTCACAGCTGTAATCCCAGCACTTTGGAAGGCTGAGGTGGCCGGATCACCTGAGGTCAGAAGTTTGAGACCAGCCTGCCCAATGTAGTGAAACCCCGTCTCTACTAAAAATACAAAATTAGCCAGGCGTGGTGGTAGGCACCTGTAATCCCAGCTACTTAGGAGGCTGAGGAAGGAGAATTGCTTGAACCTGGGAGGCAGAGGTTGCAGTGAGTGGAGATCGCGCCATTGCACTCCAGTCTGGCCAACAAGAGTGAAACTCCATCTCAAAAACAAACAAAACAAAACTAGCCAGGTGTGATGGCTCACACCTGTAATCCCAGAAATTTGGGAGGCCGAGGTGGGAGGATGTCTTGAGCCCAGTAGTTTCTAACCAGCCTGAGCAACGTAGCAGGACCCCATTTCTACAAAAAATTTTTAAAAATTGGCTGGTTGTGGTGGCACACGTCTATAGTCCCAGCTACTTGGGAGGCTGAGGCAGGAGGATCATTTGAGCCCAGGAGTTTGAGGTTACAGTGAGCTATGATTGTGCCATGCCACTGCACTCCAGCCTGGGAGGCAGAGCCAGGCCCTGTCTTGCCTCCCCCACAAAAATACTGCAGTATTGCTTTCATAGGTTAGGTACCCCACAAAATAGACTCTGAGACACTGAGATTTGCATACTAAAGGTTTCTTGGTGAGCACTCCTGGAACAACAGCTGTGAGGAGTAAGGGAAGCAGGAATGGGGTCAAGGTAATTGAGGCAGGGGGTCCAGGTCTTCATCCCCACTCCCAACCTTTACAGCCAATCATCAACCAGCTGTGAGTCCTCAGCAGCCAACAATCCCACAGCTGGGGAACAAGTGCCTTGATCCTGAAGTGGGACCTGGGTGCTGGTGACCTACTCCAAGCTGTCTGTTACAGTTGCTTACTTCCCAAGTATCTCCACATTTATTATCCCATTTTACCTAGTCACTAGCCTGTGAGGTAGCAAGGGCCAGGTAGGATACATTCTTGCCTGTTAATACACAGGAGAAATGGAACTTCTGAGAATGTGAAAGGCTTGTCCAGAGCCGCCTGCGACTTGTCTACCCACAGTGATCTCTACTTAGCACATAATATTCATTTTTTCTTATGTCCAGAGTCTATAGAACTATGGAATATAAGAATGAGAAAAGGTAGTGAAGGCCAAGTCGTCCAGCCAGCTCACTTTAAAACCCGCCAGGCACAGTAGCTCATGCCTGTAATCCCAGCACTTTTGGGAAGCCAAGGGAGGAGGATCACTTGAGCTCAGGAGTTTGAGATCAGCCTGGCCAACATGACAAGAGCCTGTCTCTACAAAAAATTTTTAAAAATTAACTAGGTGCAGTGGCTCATGCCAAGAGTCCCAGCTACTTAGGAGGCTGAGGTGGGAAGACTGGTTGAGCTCAGGAACTCAAGGCTGCGGTGAGCCATGATTTTACCACTGCACTCCAGCCTGGGTGATGGAGTGAGACCCTGTCTCAAAAAAAAAAAAAAAAAAAAAAAGTAAAAATGTAAGAGAACAGGCTTGGAGGCGGGGGACAGTTTCACCCAAAGTCAACCTGCAAATTTGTGGCAGAACCCAATCTTATGACCAGATTTCCTTCACCCAAGAGCCAGTTTATATTACCTAGGAAGTGCTGGGCACAGTGTGTCACACAGGAGCTATAGGCATGGGCAGGTTACAGGCCCTGTCCTGGGAGATTTTAGAATACAGTAAGTTCTCTTCTTTTCTTTTTTTTTTCTTCTTCCTCTTTGTTTGTTTGTTTGTTTGTTTCTTTTCTTTTCTTTTTTTCTTTCTTTCTTTCCTTCCCTCCCTCCCTCCCTCCCTCTCTCTCTCTCTTTCTTTCTTTCCTTTCTTTCTTTTCTTTCTTTCTCTCTCTCTCCCTCTCTCCCTCCCTTTCTTTCCTTCCTTTCTTCCTTCCTTCCTTCCTTCTTCCTCTTCCTTTGTTTTTTTTCTTTCGCACCTTACCCTGTCACCCAGGCTGGAGGAGAGTGGTGCAATCAACCATAGCTCACTGCAGCCTCTACCTCCCAGAAGCAAGTGATCCTCCTACCTCAGCCTCCTGAGTAGCTGGGACCACAGGTATGTGCCACTACACCTTGCTAATTTTTGTATTTTTTTGTACAGACAAGGGCTTGCCATGTTGCCCAGGCTGGTTGATATGGTTTGATTCCATGTCTCCATCCAAATCCCATCCTGAATTGTAATCCCCATAATCCCCCACGTGTCGAGGGAGGGATCAGGTGGGTGGTGATTGGATAATGGGAGTGGTTTCCTCCATGCTGTTCTCATGGTAGTGAGTTCTCACGAGATCTGATAGTTTTATAAGGCAGTTTTCCCTGATCTTGCTCACTCTCTCTCCTGCTGCCCTGTGAAGAAAGTGCCTGCTTCCCCTTCCATTGTGGTTGTAAGTTTCCTGAGGCCTCCCCAGCCATGTGGAACTATGAGTCGACTAAACCTCTTTCCTTATAAATTACCCAGTATTTCTTTACAGCAGTGTGAAAATGGTCTAATACACTTGTCGTGAACTCATGCCTCAAGCGATCCTCCCACCTTGGCCTCTCAGAGTGCTGGGATTACAGGCATGCGCCACTATGCCCTGCTCACTCGGTTTCCACAGTCTCATTTTAATAGTTTTAATGAGACAGAGAAGATGAAACTTTTTGTTCTAGGCTGTCTCTATCATCGCCTTGAGAAGTCCAAATCAGGAAAAAATAGCATTTTTTTTTTTTTTTTTTTTTTTTTTTTTTTTTTTGTGAGACGGAGTCTCGCTCTGTCGCCCAGCCTAGAGTGCAGTGGCCGGATCTCGGCTCACTGCAAGCTCCGCCTCCCGGGTTTACGCCACTCTCCTGCCTCAGCCTCCCGAGTAGCTAGGACTACAGACGCTCGCCACCTCGCCCGGCTATTTTTTTTGTATTTTTTTACTAGAGACGGGGTTTCACGGGGTTAGCCAGGATGGTCTCCATCTCCTGACCTCGTGATCCGCCCGTCTCGGCCTCCCAAAGTGCTGGGATTACAGGCTTGAGCCATCACACCTGGCAAAAATAGCATATTGTTGCTTCAGAATGAGTAAGCAGTGTTCTCCCTATGTTCCAAACTGCCAATTAGCGGTACTTATAAAGGTAAATACTCCTGAAAGACACACATGGACGACTCCTCCCTCAATTTTCCACAAGATTCATTTCCAAACTAGTGTCATGGTAGACATGACTAAGACTAAGAAAGCAGACACCTCCTTTCTTCTCCTCCTTCTCTTTAAATGACTTTCCAGTATTTCTACAATCTTTTATTCTGTATCTAGGACACAAGATAACTGTTGTATGGGGGAAAGTGGGTGGGGTTTGTGTTGATGAAGTCACAGACCTATCTTCACCGCAAACCTTCCCAGTGTTCATCCCATAGCTAAGACCAAAGTGATGCATGTCTACCTGGGGGCAGGCAGAGGACATTTGCCCTCATCTCATTCACCTCTCCCCGTTGGCGTTTCCTAGTCAAAACTTCTTTCTTGGTGATGACTGGTCACTGTTTACAGCCCCTCGTTTCTCTCCTCTATTAGGGTGGTTAGTCAGTCGCCTCAGCCCCACTAATAAAAATAAACCAGGTGATACTCTGGTTTCTCTTCAGATCATATAAATCTTTTACCTTTTACTAAAGATTCCTGTGGAGAGGAGCAACTTTGAGCTTTTAGCTAACTTTTTGAGGCTTTCCTTTAGCAGGGCTAGTATAAAGAAGAACAAAACAAACAAACAAACCAAAAAAACAATGACTGGGTGTGGTGGCTCACACCTGTCATCCCAGCAGTTTAGGAGGCCGAGGCGGGTGGATCACTTGAGGTCAGGAGTTCGAGACCAGCATGACCAACATAGTAAAACCCCGTCACTACTAAAAAAGTACAAAAATTAGCCAGGCATGATGGTACACACCTGTAGCTCCAGCTACTTGGGAGGCTGAATCAGGAGAATCACTTGAACCCTCGAGAGGCAGAGGTTGTGGTGAGCCAAGATCGTACCACCGCACTCTAGCCTGGGAGACAGAGTGAGACTCCATCTGAAGAAAAAAAACAAAAGTGACAACAACAACACCCAGGTGAACCTGATAAAACCTGACACAAAGTCCCTTCTCTCGACCATCCAAGTTTCTCAGAGAGCTGCCCATAGAGGCAGAAACCTGCATGTATGTCTGGCCTTGGAAAGAAGGCCCAAAAGCTGCTAGAACATTCTGTTAAGAAATGTGCATGGGAGCATAGACCTTAAAAATAATTAGACTGCAGGCTAGAAAATAATTTTAATGCAAAGTAGAAAGGATCAATCCACCTCATCACTTTCCTTGCTCTCGCTCTGTCACCTCCTCTTTCCTGTGGCTCTGAGAAGGTGGGAGAAGCAGGCAGGATTTCCACAGCAGTTGTCCATATAGGAAACTGTCTCCCCTATTGGTAGCTTGCTCCCAGATCTGGGGCAATGCTAGTGTCCTTTAGATCTGGGACCAGACATGAAACAATAAAATAATTTACATGTGGTTCATTGCCTCTACTAATTCCATCTCTTCCTCCTTGTAGTCACAGGGCAGCTGCATCATCCTTGGACTCATGGGGACCCAAAGTTGCTTTTAAAGAACCTGCAAAATAAATGCATAATGGGGAAGAGTGAACTTCTTAGGAGTGGCGGGGTAGAGAAGAGGGGAGAAGAGCCAGGGTCTTTGAAAGTATCTCCTTTCTGGCCTGAAAGTAGGAGGAGGAGGGGAAAGGTGAATTTGGGGAAGGAAGGCAGGAAACAGAAAAAATGTACCTTCTCTGCTGAGAGACTTTGTTTGCCATTATTCATGTTGATGTTCTTCATGGAGATAAGGGTGATGCGATCTTTCTCTCCATTGGCTGTGGAGCAGCTGGGGGAGGAAGGGTGTCTGGGTTAAAGAGAGGGGGAGGGCAGGGCAATGGAGAGTCAAGGAACTGTGAGGTTGTTGAGCTTTAGACCTTTGTCTCAAGAAATCTATATGTTGGTGGTGAATCATAATGAAATGAGAGTGTGTTTTGAAGACCAGAAGACTGCATTTATTTATTTATTTAGAGATGGAATCTTGCTCTGTCGCCCAGACTGGAGTGCAATGGCGTGATCTCAGCTCACTGCAACCTCCACCTCCCGGGTTCAAGCGATTTTCCTGCCTCAGCCTCCTGAGTAGCTGGGATTATGAGCATGTGCCACCACACCCAGCTAATTTTTGTATTTTTTAGTAGAGACAAGATTTTACCATGTTGGCCAGGCTGGTCTTGAACTCCTGACCTCAAATGATCTGGCCATCTTGGCCTCCCAAAGTGCTGGGATTACAGGTGTGAGCCACTGTGACTGGCCAAGACTTGCATTTAAATTTTGGTGTTACTACCTACTACTTGTTTGATCTTTACCAAATTACAGTCTCTATTAAAGCCTCAATTTTATTTTTTTAGTTTTTATTGAGACAGGGTCTTGCTCTGTCACCCAGACTGGAGTGCTGTGACACAATCACAGCTCACTGCAGCCTTGACCTCCTGAGCTTACACAATCTACCTGCCTCAGCCTCCCAAAGTACTGAGATTACAGGCGTGAGCCATCACATCCGCCAAAGCCTCAACTTTTTTCCACCCCGCCCCCAGGATGGAGTCTTGCTCTGTCACCCAGGCTGGAGTGCAGTGGCACCATCTCAGCTCATTGCAACCTCCGCCTCTGGGTTCAAGCAATTCTCCTGCCTCAGCCTCCCAAGTAGCTGGGATTACAGGCACGCGCCACCACACCCAGTTAATTTTTGTATTTTTAGTACAGACTGGGTTTCACCATGTTTACCAGGCTGGTCTTGAACCCCTGACCTCACGATCCGCCCACCTTGGCCTCCCAAAGTGCTGGGATTACAGGCGTAAGCCACTGCGCCCAGCCTAAAGCCTCAATTTTTAAAATGTATAATGAAGTAATGTCTTGGCTTACACCTATAATCCCAGCACTTTGGGAGGCTGAGGCAGAAGGATCACCTGAGACCAGGAGTTTGAGACCAGCCTGGGCAACATAGTGATATCCCATATCTATTTAAAAAATTAAAAATTAGCTGGACATGGTGGCACATGCCTGTAGTCCCAGCTACTTGACAGGCTGAGGTGGGAGGATCATTTGATCCCTGTTGGCATCATTGCAGTCCAGCCTGGGCAACAAAGCAAGCCTGTCCTTCAAAAAAAAGAAAAAGAAAACAAAAGAGGCTGGGCGTAGTGCCTAATGCCTGTAATCCCAGCACTTTGGGAGGCTGAGGTGGGTGGATCACAAGGTCAGGAGTTTGAGACCATCCTGGCCAACATGGGGAAACTGTGTCTCTAATAAAAATGCAAAAATTAGCCGGGTGTGGTGGCGCATGCCTGTAGTCCCAGCTACTTGGGAGGCTGAGGTAGGAGAATCACTTGAACCTGGGAGGCGGAGGTTGCAGTGAGCTGAGATCGTGTCACTGTACTCCAGCTTGGGCAACAGAGCAAGACTCCATCTCAAAAAAAAAAAAAAAAGTAATATATACCTTGAATGATTGCTATACAGATTTGAGATAATATTATAAAATATATACCATTGTGTTTGGCACATAATAGGTATTCAGTAAGTGGTTCCTAAGCTTAGAGAGAATGTCTTTTTGTATTAGAATCTGAATTCCTACACTTTTCATGATGGGGTTATAGAGGCTTAGCCCTTGGGTTGAAGAGTTTCAGTCCATCTCCTGTCATTTGATTATTCCCTTTCATGTCTGTCCCTGTCCACAGCCCTGGCCTCAGGGGAGCCTGTCAGGATTGTATGTGTGTGGGATGTGTGTGTGGTAATGAGGGGTGTATATGTGTGGTATGGGGTATGTGGTGTGAGGTGTTGGGGGTGTGTGTATGTGGTGTAATGCTTGTGTGGTGTGTGTGGTATGGGGTGTGTGTGTGGTATGGGGTGTGTGGGGTGTGTGTAGGTATGGGAGTGTTATGTATAGTGTATGTGATGTGTGGAGGAGTGTGTATGTGTGGTGTGTGTGATGTGAGATGTATATGTTGTGTGTATGTATAATATGGGGTATGTGTGTGTTTTGTGTGGCGTGTGGGTTTGTGGTATGTGTGTGGTTTGGGTGGGTGTGTGGTGTGTGTGTAGTATGAGGTACAGGGTGTGTGTGTGTGTGATGCGTGTGTGGTTTGGGTGTGTGTGTGGTGTGTGTGTGTATAGTATGAGGTGTGTGGTGTGTGTGTAGTAGAGGGTATGGGGTGTGTGTGTGTTGTGTGGTGTGGTGTGTGTGTATGGTATGGGGGGATGTGTGTGAAGTGTGGCTGTGTGGTGTATGTGTGTTGTTTGGGTGGGTATGTTGGGTATGGGGTGTGGGGTGTGTGATGTGGGTATGTGTAGTGGGGTATGGGATGTGTGGTGTGTGTGTGGTTTGGGTGGGTGTGTGGGGTATGTGTGTGGGGAGGGTGGGTGTGTATAGTATGGGTATAAGGGTGGGTATGGTGTGGGTGGGTGTGTAGGGTATAGGGTGTGGGGGGTGTGTGTGTAGTATAGGATGTATGTATGTGGTGTGTATGTATAGTGTAGGGTATGTATGTATGTGGTGTGTATGTATAGTGTAGGGGTGTGGGGGTGTGTTTGTGGTGTGGATGTGACATGGAGCATGTTGTGCGGTTATGGTGTGTGGGATGTGTGTGTATAGTATAGGGTGTGTGTGTGGTGCATGGGGTGTATGTGGTGTGTGGGTGTGTGTGGTGGGGCATGGGATGGGCCAGTGTTTGTGGTGGGGCAGGGGGAGTATGTGTATAGTATGGAGTGTGTGTGGAAAGGAATGTATGTGGGTGGTGTAGGTGGGGTGTGTGGAGTAGGTGTGGGGTGGGATGTGTTGTGTGTGATGTGTAGGGGTGTGTGTATAAGGATATGTGGGTGTGTGGGTATATGTGTATAGTGTGGGGTGTGGGGCATGTGGTAGGCTTGTGGTGTGTGTGTGTATAGTGTGGGGCGTGGTGGGGTGTGTGGTATGTGTGTGGAGTGTGGTGTGTGGGGGTATGAGGCCTGTGGTGTATTTGAGGTGTGTGTAGAGGGGTGTATGGTATGGGGTGTGTGTGGTTTGTGGGTGTGTGGTAGGTGTATGTGTGTGGAGTGTGGGGTGGGAGTGTGTGGTGTGTTTGTGGTATGTGTTGGGGGTGTGTATAGTATGGTGTGTGTGGTGTGTGATGTGTGGGGATATGTGGTGTGGGTGTAGTGTGGGGGGTGGGGTGGTATGTGGTGTGTGTGTGAGGGTGGTGTGTGTTGGTATGAGATGTGTGTGGTGTGTAGTATGAGGTGCGGTGAGATGTGTGGGTGTGTGTAGTGTGGGAATGTGGGGCATGTGGTATGTTTGAGGTGTGTGGGTGTGTGTATAGTATGGGTGGTATGTGGTGTGTGGGTATATGGTGTGTTGGTGATGTGTGTGTGTGGTGTGTATATAACATGGGATATGTGTGTGGTGTGTGGGTGTGTAGTGTGTGTGTGTAGTGGGGTGTGTGGTGTGTTTGAGGTGTGTGGAGGGTGTGTGTGGTGTGTGATATATGGGGTGTGTGTGGTGTGTGATGTGTAGGTGTGTGTGTGTGGTGTGTGGGTGTGTCTGCAGTGAGGTGTGTGTGGTGTGTCTGAGGTGGGGGTGTGTGTGGTGTGAGTGGTGTGATGTGTGTCTAGTGGGGTATGGGCATGTGGTGTGTTTGAGGTGTGTGGGAGGTGTGTATAACATGGGGGTGTGTGGATGTGGGCATGTGTGGTGGTGGTGGTTTGGGTGTGTGTCGAGGTAGGTGGGGCTGAGGTGTGGGTGTGTGTGTGATGTGTGGGGGGTGTGGTGTGTGGGTGTGTGTAGGAGGTGTAGGGTGTGGTGGGCTGAGGTGTGGGTGTGTGATGTGTGGGGGTGTGTGGTGTGTGGTGTGTGGGTGTGTGTAGTGAGGGGTGTGTGGTTTGAGGTGTGGGTGTGTGATGTGTATAATGTGTGTGGTGGTGTTTGGGTGTGCAGGAGGCAGGTGTGGGTTTGAGGTGTGTGTGTTTGAGGTGTGTGGGAGGTGTGTATAACATGGGGGGTGTGTGTGATGTGTATAATGTGTGTGGTGTGTGGTGTTTGGGTGTGTGTCGTGAGGTGTAGGGTGTGTGGTGGGTTTGAGGTGTGTGGGTGTGTGCGTGTGGAAGGCGGGAAGTGTGAGTTCCCTCTGGGAGTTGGGATCTGGGTGTCAGATAGAAGATGCTTCTGACGTTCTTACCTTTCAGGCAGCCCTGAACTCCCAGGTTTCTGGGGATCTGTAAAAGCCAAAGGCACGGATTGGGGCTCACATGCTGTAACTCACAAGTCCAGCCTTCCTCTCAAAGCCCACCTGGGGACCCTCCCGCTCATGGAGAGGCACTCATGTGCCATTCCTTCCCCCAGATGCAGGCTGGTGTGAGCTGGGCCTCTAGCCCTGGGTCTGCCAGCAGAGGGGAAAAGGGTCCCTGAGGGCAGGGTATGCACCTTCAGACTCCTTGCTCTTCCGACACTTGAATCTCAGGCTGACCACACCGACTAGGACAATCACAACAACCACCAGGATGACAATGAAGCTGATAACACCTGAACAGAGAAAAGAATGGGGTGAAGGGGGCCAGTCGGGGTGACAAAACGGGGGCCAAGAAGAGTCTGGCATTCCCTTCCCAGCTGAGTACTTTGTAGACAGGCTCCAGGAGCAAAGTGAGTTCCACTTCTCTGCTGAACAGGTGAGCTCTCAGCCTGCCGTCCCCTCTCCATCCCCCCGAGAACATGGAACCCAGCACAACTAAGAAGAGTGGACTGGAGGGGCAGAAGCCCCCCTCCCACAAGGGTCTTCCTCATAAGCCAGAACCTCCTGGAACAAATGGGTGAAATTTGAGCTTGCGTTTCCAGACCTAGAGTCCAAGTCAATTCCAGGGGTGGGGTTCCCTCCTATGTCCCACCTTCTCCTCCCGCTCTCACCAAATGCAGCCACAGTGAGCACAGTCTCTGACGTGGGGCTGGGCAGGATGGTAGCATCTTCCCTCATGCTCAGGCTCATGGTGGTTGAATTGGGGGGAACATTTTGAAATGTGTCTAAAATGGAGTGGAGTCGGGGCATCAGTGAAGGGGACTGACACAGCCTATCAGAGAGAGCTAGCTTCCCTCCCGCTTCCCCCTAGGGAAGGACCGGAAGTTATGCTGCAGAGCTATGAGGTCAGACTGGGCAAAATAGAGCCGTCTGTGTTGTGCCAGGGTTGAGGTGGGAGGAACATTTCTGCTCAGGCAAGGCTCCAACAAACCAGGCTGCCTGTTAAGGGCAAAGGTTTCCGACTCTCTTAAAAAGTGCTATGCTGGCCTGGTGCAGTGGCTCATGCCTGTAATCCCAGTACCTTGGGCAGCTGAGACAGGTGGATCACTTGAAGTCAGGAGTTTGAGACCAGCCTGGCCAAAATGGTAAAATCCCATCTCTCCTAAAAATTAAAAAAAAAAAAAAAAAATCGGGCACAGTGGCTCACGCCTGTAATCCCAGCACTTTGGGAGGCCAAGGTGGGCAGACCATGAGGTCAGGAGTTCGAGACCAACCTGGCAATATGGTGAAATCCCATCTCTACTAAAAATACATAATTACCCAGGCATGGTGACGCGTGCCTGTAGTCCCAGCTAGCCAGGTGACTGAGGCAGGAGAATTGCTTGAACCCGGGAGGCAGGGATTGCAGTGAGGCAAGATTGTGCCACTGCACTGAAGTGACAGAGCAAGACTGTCTTAAAACAAAACAAAACAAAAAAACTAGCTAGGCCTGGTGGCACATGCCTGTAATCCCAGCTACTCAGGAGGCAGAGGTTGCAGAGAGCCGGGATCGCACCACTGCACTCCAGCCTGGATGACAGAACAAGACTCCTTCTCAACAACAAAAAAGGTGCTATGTCACCTGTGTCTTCCCTCCTCAACGCATCATACTTCAGGCCCAATTGCTGTTCCACTTCCTTATCCCTCCTCACTCCCCCTTCCCAAATAAGTCTGGGAGAATAAAAAATCTGAGAGCCAAGAGATAAGATGAGAGAAAGGGTCACAGACATCTCCTGCCCACTGCTCTTCAGGGTGAGCGCAGCAGGACATACCTCCGCTTGTGCCTCCGCCTCTTCCACTGCTGGGGACACCTGTGCCTGCACCATGAAACAGCATGACCAAGATGGGGGCATCCCCCAGCAGCTCTTCTCCCTCGCTGCTAAGCAAAGGCCAATCTTCCCTGCCTGAGAGGAGTCTAGCCCTTTCCCAGCTTTTTCTGCCTTCCTTTTCCTTCATTTTGGGGTATCCTTCCCCTTCCTCTCCTCTCTAGCTATGCCTTTCTCAGTCTCAAGTCTAAGCTCCTTTTACCTTCATTGTGACCAGGCCCAAGTTTCTGCCTCTATGCCCCACCAAGCCTCTTTCTTTCCTGAGCCAGGGTGCCTCTGATGTCGGTCCTGACCCCTGTGGCCTCCTGAAGAGGGCAGAAGGAACCCATCCAGATGGAACCCAGTGTTTTTCACCGCTGCCCCTCGCCTTGGGCACTCAACAAGTCCTGATGTGTGCATCTGTGGCTTGGCTCAAGTTAGGCCCAGCCAGGTCAGGAAGAGCCCATCCGCAGTGCCTGCCCTCGGCGTCACGGGTTTACTGGGTGCCATGGGGGCCTGCGCAGCCTTCTTTGGAGCTGCTGTGAATGAGGAAGTACATGTGGGCCTGCTCAGGGCCTTGGCCGGCCTGTGCATCGGGAGGCTCTTCAGTCCAAAATCTTCCTCTTCTTTCCTGCTTCCAGTTCCAGAAGGGGCCATTCTCTTATTCACCTCTGGGCAGTTCCCTCTGCCTGGAATAAGCCCCACTACCCTCCATCCCACAGCCTCCACGTGCTCAGCTGACCCCTTCTCGGCTTGGCTTCAGAAGCCACTTCTGGGAGTCATCCCTGGCCCCCAAGTCCGAAGTGACTGACATGTGCCTGGGCTCCCACACTTCTGCTTGTGCCCACCACAGCCCTTCTCACCCTGCATGTCATCATCAATGTGAGGTTCTGTTTCCTTGTCTGTTCCCCCTCGCCCCAGTCTATATTCTCTTTTAGAGCAGAAACTGTGTCGGGGTCCTCACTGGGCCCTCCCTGGATGGCGTTTGCAGTCTGAATGACACAGTACCTGGCGTACCGGTGCTGGCCAGATGGCTTGGGCTGTTAACCTCTGAGGAAGGGATGTATCCTGCAAGGACAGAAACAGTTGGGGAGTGGGAGGTAGGGCAAGTTTAGTGACACCACACTCCCTCACCCATCCAAGAACCCCTGGGCTCCAAGCAGGTCTGAATGAATGGATGTGGGGCAGGAGCCGGGACCTCAGTAACCGCACTCACTCACCTGGGTTGGAAGAAACTGGCTCTGTGGTCGGACTTAGACTGCCAAGGCCTCCTGAAACAGATCATCTGAGGCTGAGGGGTGCACGGCCTCCTACTGTTCCATCTCCCTCTCTTCTTCCCTACATCTGTGTGTCTTTCTCCCTACCCCATTCCCCACCCCTCACTCTCAACCATTCACCTCTTTTTTCTTTCAAGGCACATTAGACTCGGCCAGGCTGAAAAAAAAATCCTTAGATGAGCTCAGCTTTGGTGAGTCCAGAGAGCTCCTGCTCCAGCCACAGTCCCAGCCCCCTGAGGTTAAGGCTAAATTGGCATAGAGCTCCTCTCACCCTTCCTAAGTTCCTAGGCCTACACGCTGGAGTAGAGCCATGTTTGGTCTTACCCTGAGAGCTAGAGGTCTGGGTCGTTGTGAGCTGGGAGCTGTGGCCTGCAAGAGAAAGCAAAACACATAGCTTGGTAAGTCCCCTGCCTAGCACAGAGCCTAGAGAGGAACCCTCAGAAAGCCTTCTGGCCCAGCCTGGGCAACATAGCAAGACCCTGTCTCTTTAAAAAGGTTTTTTTTTTTTTTTAATTCTTCAGGCATAGTAGTGCACACCTGGAGTCCTATCTACTCAGGAGGCTGAGGTGGGAGGATTGTTTGAGCCCAGAAGGGTGAGGCTGGCTTCAGCAAGCTATGATTTCACCACTGCACTCCAGCCTGGGCAACAGAAAGAGACCCTATCTCAACAAAAGAAAAGAAAAGAAAAGAAAACACTGTCCAGGTGCAGCGGTTCACGCCTGTAATCCCAGCACTTAGGGAGGCCAAGGTGGGTGGATCACGTGAGGTCAGGAGTTCAAGACTAGCCTGGCCAACATGGTGAAACCCTGCCTCTACTAAAAATACAAAAATTAGCTAGCCTGATGGTGCACACCTGTAATACCAGCTGCTTGGGAGGCTGAGAAATGAGAATCACTTGAACCCGGGAGGTGGAGGTTGCAGTGAGCTGAGATCGTGCCATTGCACTCCAGCCTGGGCGACAAAGTGAGACTCCATCCCTCAAAAAAAAAAAAAAGAAAAGAAAACAGAAAAAACCCTTTTGGCTTTCTAAGCCTACCATGCTAGAAGGCAGACACATTAGGCAGAGGGCTAAAGGGTGCGGGCTGTGGCTCACGGTGCTGGCTTCCTCCGAGACTGTGACTCAATAGCAACATCACTACCACCTCATGGCTCAGGGTCCCGAAGTCCTTCCCTGTCTCTTCAATCTAACATGGGCATTTTACCAACCTGATTCAGGGTCAGGGGAAGGTTATTTTAAACTAGTGACATTTCTAAGGAAGGACAGAGGACCTGCCACACCTTGACAAGGAAGGGCCCAGGACTCCAGGTCTGTAGGCTAATGTTTACCCTAAGCTACTGTCACCCTAGTCCTGCCCCCAGGGAAGGGACTGAGAGATGGGAAGGTGAGTGAGATGGGGATGGGGATTAGGGCTTGTATCTTGGCTGGAGGTAGGGGCCTGTGCAGGAAGTAAGTTCTGAGGTATATATAGGAGGCAGGGAAGCTCTAGCATGAGCAACCCATTCACTTTTACAGGCAGAGGATAGATAGGAAATGGTTGTTATTGACCAAACCCAGAGAGGGGTCAGTCACCAAGAGTCCCCAGTCAGAAGCCCTCACTGGCTTTTTTGTATGTACAAGTGTGTCTGCGGGGCTCTATGCAAATGTGAGTGCATGCTCATGCGCCCCTGTGTGTGTCCTGCTGTGTATGTGGAACCTGAAAGGTCAGGTTGTATTTGCTCATTTTCCACAATGAAATCATTCTTGAAACCTGTGAACAATGTGAAAGGAAAACAACGTGGGGAAGTGGAGCCGCCCAACTGGGTTCCCGTCCCTCTGTTTGAGTGGGGACTGAAGCCCCTGGCCTGGCTCTGCTGCTCCCTTGGCCTCTCAGCATCAGGGGAGCATTCAGCCTAGGTCTGGGTGGACAGAGGCGGCTGGGTGCCAGGGGTCCACCCCTGCCTGTAGCAGCCTGCTGCTGTGCTTATTTTCCTTAAGCCACTGCCTTCCTCCATGGGGCTATCATTTGGATAGTGTAGAATTAATTGTTTCCAAGTGTAAAATTACCAAACCCTGGGCCATGTTTTTCTAGATCACCATTTCTGAGAGTCCCATTCCCTTGTTGCGGGGAGGGGGATGGTCAAGAGGGGAGTTAAAATTTACAGGAAGCCCAGGCTAGAGAAAACCCTTTCTAGCTGGGGATGACCCTGGGAGAATCTTTTTAACCCAAGGCATGACCTGAAAACATCTATCAGTTACTAATCCAGCATATCTAATGTACTTTTTTTTTCTTTTTTTGAGATAGTTTCTCTCTTGGTCACCCAGGCTGGAGTGCAGTGGCACGATCTCAGCTCACTGCAACCTCCGCCTCCTGGGCTCAAGGGATTCTCCTGCCTCAGCCTCCTGAGTAGCTGGGATTACAGGTGCCTGCCACCATGCCCGGCTCATTTTTATATTTTTAGTAGAGATGGGGTTTCACCATGTTGGCTAGGCTGGTCTCAAACTCCTGACCTCAGGTGATCCATCCGCCTCAGCCTCCCAAAGTGCTGGGATTACAGTCGTGAGCCACCACGCCCGGCCTAATGTACTATCTAAATGCTGTAAGGTTATAACTTAATTTTTGGTGGGAAGGCACAAGGAACTGCCCTTCTGCATTTATCTAGAAAGAAAACTATTCAGTGGCTTAGGAGGAGTTCCAAAGTCACAAGCTTCAAGACCCACTAGCCTGCTCTTTCCTTGCCTCTTGCCCCTCCCACTACCCAAACTTCTTGTCACCAACAAAGATTCCTCTGTGAGTAGGGGAGGGACTTAGCGAGCATCTGTGTCTACAGCAGAGGGTGTCTCTGACCACGGGGCCTGCAGACGCCCAAAGAGCTCTAGCCACAGGAATTTCTGATTTCCCTGGTTTCCCCTCTCTAATCCTGTCTGCATTATCCCCTTCTAGTCTATCTCCACATGCACCCCTCCCCATTTTCCTCAGAAGCATAGTTTAGTAGTTAAAATCGTGGGTGTTAATGGAGCCCAGCAAGCCTGAGTTCAAGTCCTGACATTGTCACTGTCTGGCCTAGGACTCAGTTTTCTTTCAAGTGCAAGTGACCAGCCTGGGCAACATGGTAAAACCTTGCTCTACAAAAAAATACAAAAATTAGCCAGGTGTGGTGGCTTGTGCCTGTAGCCCCCAGCTACACAGGAGGCTAAGGCAGGAGGATTGCTTGAGCCCAGGAGGTCAAGGCTGCAGTGAGCCATGATCACGCCACTGCACTCTGGCCTGGGCAATGGAGCGACCCTGTCTCAAAAATAACTAAGTAAAATGCAAGTGGTATTAGTACCTCGCAAATTGTTATGAGGGAAGGAAAATGCATATGAAGCACTTAACGCAGTACCTGACAAGCTCAATGAAGACCAGACACTTTTGTTTTTGCCCCATTCTCTCAAATCCTCTAGGTCTCAAGTCTGCCCTGCCTCTGAGTATCCATAGTCAAGTCCCTTTATGGGCCTGAATGTGCTCAGGATTCCTCAGTCCATCAAGATGAAGGAGCCAGGAAGTGCTCTGCACACTTCAGGATGAGAGGTTAGGAAACTCAGGGGGGCAGTGATAGCGGCTTAGGTAGAGCTGACACAGGGCATTTGAGAGCCCTGGCACGTGCCTGGGAGAAAACAGTGTGTAGGGAGGCTGGGAAAAGTCTAGGCCACCTCATGAGCCTCACCTGCAGTTTCCACAACAGCCTAGACCCCCAGCCCGAGAACTGTGACTCTGTCATGGAGGGGGTAGAAGGGGATGGGGACAATCAGAGTTTTGTCCTCCAGCCCATGGGCTTTTAGAGAAATGCCTGACCTCTCCAGGAGGCAGTGTTCTGGTACTCAGGCCTCTTACCCACCACCGATGGGGGGCCACCACCCCTCCCCACCCGAACCCTCTTGCGCACTCTTTCTGCTGCTTTGAGCACAGAGGACTTGTAGAGGGTGAGGTGGGGGCAGGGTAGAGATGGTCAAAGGGAAGTTGCTGCCCTGTGAGTCAAAATGTCCTGGACTCATCATGATTCCCAGCAACTGCTCCCTGATGCCAGGACCCCTATGAGTGGCTTCACAACTCATTGGCTGGCAGAGCCTGTCGGAGAGGTGCCGTTTCCATGTAGCCTCCTCTGGAGGTCATCTCCTCTAGCCCCTGGATGTGAGAATGTTATGCCCATCCTCCTTGGTGAACAGTTCTTTGTGTCTAACCTGAGTCCCTCCTGCTGTGATTTAAGTTTAAAATCAACATTTGGAATTCCTAGGCTGCTACTCCTCATGTGAAAGGAGAGAACAGATCCCCTGTGAAGCCCAAGGTGCAGAGGATTTGTCTTAGAACAGTTGATAGAGTGGCCGTCGTCAGCCCTTCCCGAAGATCAGAGGATGAGTGTCATGAGTAGCCTGAGCACATCCTAGAAGAAGCTTTGGGCCTGGGTCTCGCACGAACACAGCTTCCTCCCATGATTCAGGAGGCCAGCCTCTATGGGGAGCCCAGCTCCCCCAGGGCAATTTCCCACAAGAGGGTTTAACCATAGCTCCATTTACCCCTGCCTGGTAATCAGGACCCCCAATCCAACTGATCCCCTTCATGAAAAGGCTCTGGAATTTCCCCTGGGCACAGTCCCTGGATGGAAAGCATGTGTATTCTGAGAAAGGGACTGACGCCTAGAATGGCCAGCTGCGGAGAGGAATTGCTGTGGAAAAGTGGCAGGTGCCTCTTACCTCGGAACAGGAGGAAGCCCAGGATCACCCAGCACAGCTGCATGGCTCTTGCGGTGCCCATGTCAGCTGGATATGTGGCGGGCAGGCAGCAGCTCAGTGGAGGCTCTGTCCATAGTGGAGAAGAGAGAGGGAGAACTGGGGCGGGGTGGGGGTGGGGACTGGCTCTCCAGGAGCTTCCTGTCAAAAGAATAGAAGGAAACACATTGGGACCAGCTCCAGGGGCCCTGCTCAGCCATGTCCAGATGAGGATGTGAGGCTGCAGCAGCAACTGTGCCTGCCCAGCATGGCCTCTAGTGCCTATGCACAATGATCAACCATGGTAACCTGGCCCCATCCCCATTCTCTTCCCTTCTGAGGGATCCATCAGGTTCCACCACAGACCGCCTGGGGGTTTTTCTGGAATCTAACACCAATCCCACCCAGTACTGTTTCAGACCAGGTTCTCCTTTCCCATGATTCAGCCTGGAAGCCCAGCCCACCAGCCGCCCATGCTCCCTGGACTCTGAATTCTCCACATTCCTCTCTCTCCTCAGGGATCCCAATGCAGATAGGACTCCCTACATCTTTCAGAGAGGCCCAACATGCATGATTATTATTCCTTTTTTACTTTTTTTAAAGAGATAGGGTCTTGCTATATTGCCCAGTCTGTACTCAAACTCCTGGGTTCAAGTGATCCTCCTGCCTCAGCCTCACAAGTAGCTGGGACTTCAGGCATGTGCCACCATGCCTGGTATTGTTGTTATTAATAGAAAAGCAAGAGTACCTATTTGAAACACTCCTCCCTCTGCACCCTCACTGGGGTGAGGTGTCCCCTGTCCTCAGCATCCGGCAGCACTCATCCTTATCCCAGGATTCTCCTTCTTATAGACTACAAGCCAGCATTGTGACTTTTTTAGTATTCCTTGGACCTGGCACAATGCCTACCACATAGCAAGTCCTCAGCACATATTTACTGAACTAAACTCAAAAGATTTAAGGTCAGGGCTGCACAGTGGCTCATGCCTACAATCCAGCATTTTGAGAGGTTGAGGCAGAGGATTTCTTGAGGCCAGGAGTTTGAGACCAGACTAGGCAACACAGCAAGACCCTGTCTCTACAAAAAAAAAAAAAAAATTTAATTAGCCAGGCATGGTGGTGCATGCCTGTAGTCCTAGCTACTCATGAGGCTAAGGTGAGAGGACCTCCTGAGCCCAAGAGTTCAAGGCTGCAGTGAGCTATGATCAGAGTGAGACTCCATCACTGAAATTAAAAAAAAAAAAAAAGATTCGAAAGCAGAGAAATGTTACAAACAATCCTTCCTCCTTAATATTAATTACATTATTGTTATTAATTTCCTTCCAGTCTATTTGCCTTCCAGTCTTTGACAATATGCATATCCATATACAATCATTTATATGATTGGTATCCTTTTTTCTTTCCTTTTTTTTTTTTTTTTGAGACAGAGTCTCTCACTGTTACCCATACTAGAGTGCAGTGCAAGATCTCTGCTCACTGCAGCCTCCGCCTCCCGGGTTCAAGCCATTTTCATGCCTCAACCTCCAGCGCAGCTGGGACTGCAGGCTCATGCCACCAAGTCTGGCTAATTTTTGTATTTTTAGTAGAGACAGAGTTTCACCATGTTGGCCAGGCTGGTCTCGAACTCCTGACCTCAAATGATCCTCCTGCATTGGTCTCCCAAAGTGCTGGGATTACAGGCATGAGCCACCATGCCTAGCCCTTTTTTCTTTATTTTTTAAATATTTTATTATGAAGCAGTCACAAGAAAAGTTGGAAGTACATTACACAGAACTTTTTTCCCTGAACTGTTTCAGAGTAAATTGTCAACAGGATGCCCCATCACCCCAAATAGTTTAGTATGTATTTCCTTACAAGGGACAGTCTCCTACATAATCACAATACAGCCATCAAAATTAGGAAATTAACATAAATATATTAATATCATCTAATCTTCAGATCCTATTCAAATTTTGGCAGTTGTTTCAATAATGTTCTTTATAGCAAAAGGATCCTGTACAGAATTACTCATTGAAAGTCTCTTCAGTCTCCTTCAATCTGGAATACCTCAGCCTTTCCTTGATTTTCATGACCTAAACATTTTTGAAGGTTACAGTCCAGTTATTTTATAGAAGGTCTCTTAATTTTAGTTTCTCTGATGTTTCCTCATGATAAGATTTAGGTTATCTATCTTGGCAGTGACGTCGAAGAAGCAATGCTGAGCCCCTCTCTTTGCATCCTATCAAATGATGCAAGATTTTTTTCCTTTTTTTTAAGAGACAGAGTCTCAGGGCTGGCTGTGATGGCTCACGCCTGTAATCCAGCACTTTAGGAGGCCAAGGAGGGAGGATTGTTTGAGCTCAGGAGTTCGAGACCAGCCTGGGCAACATGGCAAAACCCTGTCTCTGCTAAAAATAGAAAAATTAGCTAGGTTTGGCCATACCTGCCTGTAGTCCCAGCTACTCAGGAGGCTGGGATGGGGAGGATGGCTTGAACCTGGGAGGCAGAGGTTGCAGTGAGCCAAGATTGTGCCACTGCACTCTAGTCTGGATGACAGAGCCAGACCCTGACTCAAAAGAGAAAAAAAAGAGAGAAGGTTCTGGCTCTGTCACCCAGACTGGAGTGCAATGGCGCAATCTCACCTCACTGAAGCCTTGAACTCCTGGGCTCAAGTGACCCTCCTGCCTCAGCCTCCTGAATTGTTGGGATTACAGGCATGAGCCACAATGCTTGGCTCAATTTTTTTTTTTTTTTTTCTGTGATGGAGTCTCGTTCTGTCACCCAGGCTGGAGTGCAGTGGCATGATCTCAGCTCACTGCAACCTCCACCTCTCAGGCTCAAGCAATTCTCCTGCCTCAGCCTCTTAAGTAGCTAGGATTACAGGTGTACACCATCACGCCTGGCTAATTTTTGTGTTTTTAGTAGAGATGGTGTTTCACCATGTTGGCCAGGCTGGTCTCGAACTCTTGACCTTGTGATCTGCCTGCCTCAGCCTCCCAAAGTGCTTGGATTACAGGTGTGAGCCACTGCGCCCAGCCCCGGCCCTGGCTCTATTTTTATTTTTATTATTATTATTTTTTTTTCAAGAACGAGTCTCACTATGTCACACAGGCTGGCCTCGTACCGCTCGTACTCCTCATACTCCTCATACCTCTCCTGCCTCAGCCTCCTGAGTAGCTGGGACTACTGGTGCACACACCGCCCCTGGCGTGCATGATTTGGATTTGTTCCGTTACTGAGGAGGTTTGCTTTAATCATAAAGTGGTATCTGCCACTGTATGTTTCCTGTAGCTACTGTAACAAATTACCACAAACTGGTGGCTTAAAACAATAGACATTCAGACCTTTATTCTGTCACAGTTCTAGGGGTTAGAAGTCAAAATTGAGGTGTCAGCTGCACCACAGTCGCTCCCAAGGCTCTAGGAGAGAATCATACTTTGTCTCCTTCAGCCTCTGGGGATTGTTGAGCATTCCTTGGTACCCCTTGACTTGTAGTGCAGCATTATCACCTGCGCCTCCATCTTCACATCACTTCCTCTGTGTCTTCTCTTCTGGGTGTCTCTCAGAAGGACACTTGTCATTGAATTTAAGGCCTGTCTGGATAATCTAAGATGATCTCAAGATTTTTTTTTCTTTTTTCTTTTTTTTTTTTTTTTTTTTTTTTTTTTTTTTTTTTTTTTTGAGATAGAATCTTGCTCTGTCGCCTAGACTGGAGTGCAGTGGCGCTCTGGCACAATCTCGGCTCACTGCAAGCTCCACCTCCCGAGTTCACTGCAGTCTCTTGCCTCAGCCACCCAAGTAGCTGGGACTACAGGTGCCCACCACCATGCCTGGCTAATCTGTTGTATTTTTGGTAGAGACGGGGTTTCACTGTGTTAGCCAGGACAGTCTTGATCTCCTGACCTCATGATCCGCCCGCCTTGGCCTCCCAAAGTGCTGGGATTACAGGCGTGAGCCACTACACCTGGCCCTTTTTTTTCTTTTGAGACAGGGTCTGGCTCTGTCACCCAGGCTGGAGTGCAGTGGTGAGATCTCGGCTCACTGCAACCTCTGCCTCTCAGGCTCAAGCAATCATCCCACCTCAGCCTCCCGAGTAGCTGGAACTACAGGCACACACCACTATACCTGGCTAATTTTTGTACTTTGTTTTGTTTTGTAGAGATGGGGTTTTGGCATGTTGCCCAGGCTGGTCTTGAACTCCTGGGCTCAAGTGATCCACCTCCCTCGGCCTCCCAGAGTGCTAGGATTCTTAACTTAATTACATCTGCAAAGATTTTTTTTTTTTTTTTTCTTTTCAGACAGAGTCTTGTTCTCTTGTCCAGGCTGCTAGAGTATAGTGGCATGATCTCGGCTCACTACAACCTCCGCCTCCCGGGTTCAAGTGATTCTCCCGCCTCAGCCTCCTGAGTAGCTGGGATTACAGACACATGCCACCAAGCCTGGCTAATTTTTGTATTTTTAGTAGTGACAGGGTTTCACCATGTTGTCCAGGCTGGTCTCAAACTTCTGGCCTCAAGTGATCCACCCATCTCAGCCTCCCAAAGTGCTGGGATTACAGGCTTGAGCCACCGCGCCCGGCCTCCAGATACACCTTGTGCTTCACCTGCCCCAGCCCTGGAATCCGCTATTTCTTTAAGGGGCCTTCATTCCTTTTGGCGCAAATGGTATTTAAAAACTGAGGGCCGGGCACAGTGGCTCACACCTGCAATCCCAACAATATGGGAGACCTAGGCATGAGGATCAATTTAGCTCAGGAGTTTGAGATCACCCTGGGCAACATAGTGAGATATCATCTGTACAAAAAAAAATTTTCAATTACCCAGGCATGGTGGTGTGAGCCTGTAGTCCCAGCTACTCAGGAAGCTGAGGTGGGAGGATCACTTGAGCCTGGGAGGTCGAGGCTGCAGTGAGCTGAGATCATGTCACTGCACTCCAGCCTGGGCCACAGACCCTGTCTCAAAAAAAAACAAATTTTTTCAAAGGAAAGAAACCGAGGTCTGAATTGTCAGTGTGCTCATTGGTGCTAGCGGGTAGCATCTCTAAGGCCCTTCTCTGACTGCCATGATCCTTAAATATTACTTATTGGATCACTCCCCTTGCAGTAACCAAGCTCCCATTTCTGATCCCATTCCTTCCCCACCATGTGGATGCCTTCCTCACCCTCTCCCCGGTCCTCATTTGAAGTGCACAATTCCGTGGCTTTTTTTTTTTTGAGACAGTCTCCTCCCTCTGTTGCCCAGGCTGGAGTACAGCAGCGCAATCTCGGCTCACTGCAACCTCTGCCTCCCGGGTTCAAGCTATTCTGCCTCAGCTTCCTGAGTAGCTGGGATTACAGACATGTCACCAAGCCTGGCTAATTTTTGTATTGTTTAGTAGAGATAGGGTTTCACCATGTTGGCCAGGCTGGTCTCAAACTCCTGACCTCAGGTGATCCACTCAC